TGGCACTATGTTGCATTGTTCGTACTACAAATGTGTCAGAACAATCATCTAAGTAGTGCAACTGAATGCAATGGCCCTGTGTGAAATAGACAGAGACAAAAACAACACCACCTGAAACGTGATGATCCAGTTCTCCATGACAGAAATTACTGCAATGGCCTTATATGTCCTGTGTGTGTGACTGTTGAAAAATTTTCATTTTGGAAATGTATGAGCTGGTCTTGATATGGTGCTCTGGAGTTTGATAAATTAAAAATTAATCAGCTGCAAATACAACTTCAACAAGCTGTCATAACTTGGAATATGCAAGTCAAACAATTAAGGGGCGTGCTACCATGCAGGTTAACCTTTGTCTTTCCAGTAAAGATTTGTTTTATTCAAACTTTGGATCTTCATGTCTTGTTATGCTCTTAAGGTTGCACCCGGGGAAATCCATGCAACCCCAATGGAGAAAAATTGGAAACATGTTCAATGTTCATTTGAGGGGTAGATAGATTACTTTATTCATCCCTGAAAGGGTCAGATGTCAGAAATTAGTGACATGACAGATTCATCCTGATGGGTTCGAAAATAAAGACATCATGTCAGGGTCTACTCCTGTCAGCCAAGAGCAGAAAAATTAAATGGGATTTATGGAAAAAAAAATGTGTCTAAAAAATTCAATATGTTGCTATTTTTAAATCTTTTTGCAGGGAGGCCAATAGACACAAAAATGGCAAATATTCAAATGTACTAGGTCTTTTATGATGGGAGAAATTCCGAGCAGGACGGAGAAGGAGTAGGAGTCAACAAACATTTATTCAAACAAACATTTATTATTTACTGGAAAAAGGTATTCATGATGCAGGAAGTCTAGAAACCAAGAACAATCTGTTCACCAGGTGTGGGCCGTCACGTGTGTAAAAGCCTGCTTCATGATTTGACACATAATTATACCATGCATGTCAACAATGATGCTATTCTTATATTTTTTTCTCATGAATGTCTGAGAATAAGTAACCACGTACAAACACGAGTTTGATTCATATACTGCAGAACCACAAAAAAAATTCTGTGGCTCTAAACAACACATTTGCCTCTATCTTTGTCTACTTTAGAAATATAGAAAGCGACCCTGTTGCTGTGATTTAAAAAACAAGATGTCCTAACTTTTCAGGGAAATAGTGAGAAAATTCAGATGGCAGCAGGTTGTGTGTGTTGTGTTGCCACACTGATTTCTTTACAGAGGTCAAAGTACAGTGAGAATTATGCATTTTGAAAATAAATGGATTAGTTAGAGATGGATTGCTTGTTAAAAAGACAGTTAACCTAAACATGGCTGTGAAGTCACTGTTTCCTTGACTGAAGCATGGAAAAAGAACAACCCAGTAATAATTGCAGTATCGGGTAAATATTTTCTTATGTTAATATCTTCATAATGTTGGGAACGTTTGTTGAAAACAACATTTTAAGTGCCATTCTGAGTTCCCATGGAGATGATTCCACACCCAGCTCCTCTGACAAAGATGCCAAACCTGTTTGTCCTTTAGAGTGCATATTGCAAATCACTGTTCATGCCTCACCTGAGAATTAAATGAAAAATTTCAAATAGTACTAATGAGGATATTGATAAAATCTCAGAGTTTGTACTTTTTTAAATGACAAGAGAGTTTATCTTTATAGTGTGTCATGCTGTTTTTAAACCAGTCTGCTAATAAAAGTTGGCTGATAAAAAGACGATAATCAATGTTTTTATTCACAAACAAGAGTGGCACAATAGTTAAGTTTAAAAGACACACCTGCTGATTTCGGACGTTCTGAGGAACATTTATCCATCCATCCATCCATTATCATTACCGCTTATTCCCTCATGGGGTCGCGGGGAGAACTGGAGCCTATCCCAATGATCAATGGACGAGAGGGCGGGGTACACCCTGGGCAGTCTGCCAGCAGGAGCATTTATAAAGTAACAAAAGGGTGAAATGATTTTGTCCTCTCTTTCATTTAAAAGTAAGCTTTAACAGTAAGCTTTAACATAAACAAAGGCCAGAATTACAAATCATTCAGTATATTCTGTACATAAACAGAAATTCTATAACATAAACACCGCATGTGCTATCAGAAAAGTCGAAAGACAGGGAGAGAGGGTCCCAGAAAATAAATGGCAACAGAAAAGATGTTGAATACATTATAAAACAATATAGACGGACAGTCAGGAAAAATAGAAGAATAGATTGAGTTATTATCTTGCAAGGACTCAAAGAATAAAAATATAGCATCTGAAAATCACAAAGAAATTGCACATAACAATTTGATAATGCTTTTTTCAAAATAATATTAATTTGAACTGTAATGTATCCACTGCAATGTAACCAAACCTTTGAAGATTAATGCTGTATTCAATGCTGTTTGTGTTGAAAATAATTGTTATCTCACACATCAGAATGGTTACACACCTTGTTCCAACCAATCTTTTTGAAGACGTCACGCTGTAGTTGATTCATTTCACCACCCAAATGACAGTGGACTCTCTTGGTGACGGGCTAAAACCACTGAGCAGTGATCTCATCATTTGCAAAAGATAGAGAGATAGGGCCAGATGGTATGGAGGAAGCCTTAACAAACAGTATAAATCATTATATTATTTTAAAGAATATTCCTGTTAAAACAACTATCATTAGCAGATTTGTTTAGAAATAACTCAATATTAATCAAGTTGTTGTGAACAGCTACCAAAATGTTTTATTGTCATTGTTTAATTTATTGGTTGATCATTAGTTTGAAGTATTGGTAAGAATGAAAAGCAAATTGTTAAATTATTCAAGTTAACTCTATAACTTTCTGTCATACAACAGGACATGACAGAGAGAATGTATCTTTTATATTTATCTCTCATAATATTTTGGAAGTCTGAAGTCCTTTTCTTTATGACAGGTCAAAGCTTCCCACTTTACGTACTATAAGGTGTGGATTACTCAAAATGAAGCAAGAGTTTTGGCTGTTCCAGTTCCAAAACAATTGCTCACGAGGTCACACGCCCACAGAGCGAACGTCGGTGAAGACAACATGCAGCTGTGACACAGCATGAACACACACCAACGTCAGCCTCCTTCTGAAACACTGGCATGACAACAATTCGAGTTTGGCATTTGATTGAGCAAAGTTCAGCTTGGACTTGATATTAACATTTTGCATTACCTTAAGTAGATGTATCATTCCTTTCATTTACAGAGTTACAGTGAGATCACTCAGTGTTTATAAACATAATACAAATTAAATTTCACCAATCGTTTAAAAAAATGCATTACAATCAACTCATAAGAGGAATTCAACATGCTGTTGTTAAATCTAGTATTTTGGTAAAGGTAAAGTCTTATATTTGGTTTTCTCTATTACAACACTTTTTGTATAGTTAACTGAGACTGTGTTAATACTTTCCTTCTCTCGTCTGACACTAAACCTGAATTTTCCTATATCTGATTTTTTTCCCAGTATTTTGATAAAAATTCTTAATAATTCATCGTAAGAACTGCACTGACTATCATATTGTGGTCCATTTTTTTGGATGATGATTCTTTTGATGAACTGATATATCTAATTTTTAATTTATATAAAAAATAAACTTTCTTTTATTTTTTTACTCCTCAATGAATCCTTTATACTGAGCAACATAATTAAGGATCTCAACTCTCAGGTCACATAATAGAGACGTGACTTTATTTCATGACGTCAGACGTTTGACCATCAGGTGAAAAGAAGTATAATCCAAAATCAAATTTCTTGACTTACAGGTTTTATTATTGTAATCAAATATGCAATAGGTCTATTGCAAAGTGGATTTAAAACACTTAGAAATATAGTATGTTTCAAATCTTGAAAAACACAGAATTAAGGTTTGTAGTAATTAAGTATAAATGGAAATTTACAGAATATTTGACATCAATATTGTAAACTTTTATTAAAATGAGTAATTCACTACCAAATAAAGAGCAGAAACTAAACTTCATCTAAAAAAATAATCTAAAGAAAAAAATCTTAGAAATGCTAAACTGTCAAGTATAAATAATGATGGCATACATTAATGATGAAAGTTTGAATGTTTGAATGAATAAAGAAATTACCTAAAATGAGCTGGTCTATAACCTGTTCAGAAACACAATACAAATGCAAATACTACCATATGAGAAAAGCATTTCGACATGGACAAACAGAAAAAGATGGAACAGTCAACAAACCTGAATGAAGCACCAACATTAGTGCATCATGATGTTGGTCATTCAGATATGTTTGTTCAGGTGTAATCAGACCTGCACTGCAAGGTTATAAAAGCTTCTCCTCAAACACACTAAGATGTAATGATAAACTGCAAACAGAGAACATTTTGGGAGTAAAATTCATTGCATCAAATACATCTACTGGAAGAACAATATCTGTAAGAACCATTAAATTTCACTATCAGAATAGATTTTAGAGATCACGATTGTTATATTTTAGTTAGCTTCATGACTTGGCTAAAAGAATGTTTACGTCCACCATTGTGATTCTTATTCCAATGCAATGTGATATTTTTTTGCCCGCGGAAGTACT